TTTTTTTTTAGCATTAATAGATGCTATATGAATTCGGTATATTGAAATTTGTTACTATTAACAGGGAAAGGGAACAGGGAGTTTTGGTAAGCGAAGGAACAAAACTCACACTCTGTGTGTGAGATGCGGTCGCCGCAGCTTCCACATCCAGAAGAGTCGTTGCTCCGCCTGTGCTTACCCCGCCGCACGCTTAAGGAAATGTACGTTTTTGTTTTTATACTGCGGCGGTTTAATTGATTAAGAGAATAACAAACTACGTTTGACTTTTTTGATTCGGAATAGAAGTTGAGGAAAATATATTTTGATTTGTGATTGAAGTAGGAAAAAAAATAACCAAATTACTATGATCCTACCTAAGGCAAAGCACCCTGAATTTTCGAACGACAATGTTTCTGGAGTATTTTTGTATTTGAATACCGGAAAATGTAGATCTCTCTCTCTCTCTCTCTCTCTCTTATATATATATATATATATATATATATATAGGCTGTAGGGTTATAAATTGAACAAAATGAATGTGAGCTTGCTATCCAGTTGGCAATATCTATTATTTTCCAATTGGCTTCTCCCGTTGAGGTGAAAATGAGCCTCTCATTTTATGAATCTTCGATATTATTACCCGTGATTTCTTTGTTGCCGGAGTGTGTGGAACAACAGTGATGAGTCATACAGACCTGTAATGATTTGCGAGCGTGAACGCAAGCATTAATGAACATCTAAGGGACTGAGTTGTTCACCGTCTTCGTCACTCCCAAGTTGAATTTGGGACGTACTGAAATATTCGGAACTTATCTGTATAGAATCTTTACTGTAATATATTTATATAAAAATGTGTATTGCTTGAAGCTTTAAACAATTTTTGAAATATACAGTTGCTTGAAAATTGAGAATGAAAACCCTGTGTAGTCAGAAACTAAGTTGAAAAGAAAACTGAAAAGGATCCTGAAACTAATCTCTAAATAATTGAAAAAATAAAAAGAAGTGTATATAAATTCTTGAAATAAGGGTTTGAAGCTTCGCTATCTGGTTGGCAGGATCTATGTATTTCTGACCAACTCGTTCCCTTGAAGCGAGAGTGATTGTGTTGCTCTTCTTCATCTTCCAGGCTTCCTTGAGTTGCTTTTGGAATACACTGGGGCAGCTACATTTTATAATGTTATACTTAAGTGTTTTTTCTTTTTATCTGATATACAACCTATTTTTAAATCTTACTTCTCATGGTGTGTATAGAACAACTGTGATGAACTCTACATACCTGTAGTGATTTGCGAATATGATCGCAATTGTAATGAACATCTAAGGGACTGAGTTGTTTGTCAATTGTACACACACCAATCTTATGTTTTCCCTTTTTTTCTATAATATATGTGGTGGTGTTTGTCATCTTTATGGTTTTATTGCACTTTTGTTGTTGCACAATTGCGAAATTATCATTTTGATGATTGGTGGTTTGCTTACTATGTTAGTCTTTCGGTCATAGATAACTGGAGCGTCAAGGCGATACGAAGAAAGACCACTGGAACTGGTCGTATGAGGTATCTCCGTCATGTAGCTGTTAGGTTCAAGAGTAACTTTAGAGAAGGTAACCAGAGTATGATTTTGCTTTTCATCTACATTTATTATGTGAAAGCTTTTCAAGTTGATGATTTTGATGTCTTGTGTACCTGTAATTGTTAGGTACTCAAGCACCTCCAAGAAAGAAGGGCACAGCTGCAGCATAGTAAGGTTTTGAAGGAAATCCTGAATCCTTTGGCATCAATGTATCTTTAATTTTGTGAGAGAATCGAGAATTGGTTTATTCACTGTTGGTTGTTGACCAGTAAAGATATTTTGTTTAGACGTGAACAAGTTTTACGTGAAGTTGATAAATGCAACAGTTCACTGGTGTCTATTGCACTTTGTTTGTTGAGAGTTACAAGCACGTGCGTGATTTCAAGATGCTTCAGCAGCAATACGACTTTTAACTTAGTAAGGGGCATCTTTACAAGAGTCAGGTTACAAGTTTATGGCCCTGTTTGGTAGGGTTAAAAAATTGGATTAAAATTTCAAGACAAAGCTAATAATTAATGTCAACTATATATTTCATTCGACTTTTTTGTTTTTAATCACATGTTTTGTCAATTTTTATTAAAAGATAACTTCTTTCCTTTTTTTT